ACATTTGATTTCAAGGCACTTTACAGAGACAACTCAATCAGATCATATAGTCAGATTGATTAAAAGGTTTTTTGTTTTTTTTTAATCTACGGAAAACCAGCTGATAGCATAGTCACTGATTTTGCAGGATTTGCTCCTCCTAGTTGAACATGTGGGGACGGTAGACATTCACTTGCATTGTGTGATTGACTCTGCAGCAATCCCTCACCGAGCATGCACGCAGCAACAGTGGAGAGAAAAAAAAAAACAGGAAGAAGCTTCAAGCAGAACCAGGCTCTGTGTCAGCAGAAAAGGAAACATAGAATCACTGATCCAAAAATACACTGTATGTTAGAAAAGGTCATTGGAAACTGGCTCCATTGGTGGCTCTGTTTAGGAAAGATACAGTTCAGCACATGAGGTCTGAGTTGGTCCTCATGTCCAAAAGGCTGAAAGAGAGAACATATAGTTGGTCGCAGTAAAATCTGACGAATCATTTTCAAAAGCGGGTGCCAGAAAAACGCCGGTTTCATGTTTCCAGCCACATCTTTTTGTCTAACAATGAAGCTGTAGCTCAACCTCTGTAACCAGTCTGTGCATGCCCAGTGTTTTTCTTAGTGGTGTGGGTGTGTTCTGTGTCAGCGCCACCAAATGGCCCAGCATATGTACTACAGCGTCTTCATTGGTGCTGTGTACACTTATGTGGGCGTAACAATTTCTAAGCAATTCATGAAAATATAATGTGTTTGTCTTTGTGTGGAAAAGGCCTAAACGCTAATTTGCACTCTTCTGTTCAACAACGTTAACAATCTTGGTTTAAAAAACACAAACAAAATGGAAATGACATCAACAAAGTCTGATAAGAAGACATGGAATGGTTAAACTGGAAATAAATTAATTTCTGTTTTTTGTTAGGAAAGACAAAGACTTGTATGGTTTTAAAAGGACAAAAATACATCCTTTTATTTTTTTTTATGTTTCCATTATATCTTGAAATCTTTAGTAAATTCTGTCACAATAGTTCATAGACTGATACTATTTCTCTATATGTGTCTTTTTCTGCAGGTATCAGAGTCCATATCTACCACAGAGCTGGAGATGATGCTGTTTTACCCTGTAAAAGACCTTCATCATCCTCTTCCTCATGCTCCACTGTTAACTGGCTTTATAGGAGAAAAGAAGACATGAATCCTCAGCAGGAAGTTCAGAGAGGAATCGTTGTTCAGAGTTCATCTAAAGCTGCCAGGCTGAGTGTGGACAATAACTGCTCTCTGATCATCAACAGCATCCCTGCTGAGGATGCTGGAGCTTACAGATGTCAGATTC